TTTTGGCCGATAGGATGTTCATGAAGGACCTGTAGTACAAAGTATATCACTGGATTGAGCTCTTTGTCTAAGTGTATTATTAAAGTGCTTTGCTTTGAGCTCAGTTCATTGTTATGCAATTCATTCTTTGTGAAATAAAGATTTGACAGACAACTCTCATGTACAAGGAATTGTCAAAGTAGTATCCATTCTATGTACAATGTAAGTAATAGGGAGATAAAAGCATTTTATTTAGATTTGAACCAAACATTTTTTGTCCATTAGCCAAATTTTAAAAAAAGCACAAATTTACCAAACAATGCTACTCGCGCTACTAGCAATATGATGCTAGGTTGTTTTGTTACACTTTATTTTTATACGACCGCAAAAACATTTTGCGGTCGTAAATTGGTATGACGTTGGCGTCGTCGTCATCGTCGTCGTCGTCCGAAGACACATTGGTTTTCGCACTTTAACTTTAGTTTAAGTGAATGGATCTCTTTGAAATTTTACCATAAGGTTCAATACCACAAAAGGAAGGTGGGGATTGATTTTGGGGGTTATGGTACCAACAGTTAAGGAATTAGGGGCCAAAAAGGGGCCAAAAATAAGCATTTTTGTAACTTCCAGACATAACTTGTGTGTTAGTGTATGGATCCCTCTGACATTGTACCACAACGTTCCATATCACAAAGGGAATGCTGGGATTGATTTTGGGGGTAATTGCCTCCAAATCGTAGGAATTGGGGGCCAAAAAGGGGCAAAAAACAAGCATTTTTCTAGTTTTATGACAATAACTCGTGTGTAAGTTTATGGATCTCTCTGACATTGTACCACAAGGTTCCATATCACAAAGGGAATGCTGGGATTGATTTTGGGGGTAATTGCCTCCAAATTTTAGGAATTAGGGGCCAAAAAGGGGCAAAAAACAAGCATTTTTCTAGTTTCATGACAATAACTTGTGTGTAAGTGTATGGATCTTTATGAAATGGTACTATAAGGTTCCATATCACAAAGGGAAATCTGGAATTGAGTTTAAGGGTAATTGCCCAAAACGTTTAGGAATAAGGGGCCAAAAAGGGGCCAAAAATAAGCATTCTTCTAGTTTACAGACAATAACTTGTGTTCAAGTAAAATTGAGAATGGAAATGGGGAATGTGTCAAAGAGACAACAACCCGACCATAGAACAGACAACAGCAGAAGGTCACCAAGTGTATGGATCTCTCTGAAATTGTACTGCAAGGTACCATACCACAAAGGGAAGGCTAGGATTGATTTTGGGGGTAATTGCCTCAAAATTTTAGGAATTAGGGGCCATAAAGGGGCAAAAAAACAAGCATTTTTCTAGTTTCAGGACAATAACTTGTGTTCAAATGTATGGATCTCTCTGATATGTACTGCAAGGTACCATACCACAAAGGGAAGGTTGGGATTGAGTTTGGGGGTGATGAATCATAAGGGGGTTCAAAAAATTTTGGGGGGTTTCCTTTTTTTTCTTTAAAATTTTCCATTTTAAATTGGTTATTTCTGATTTATATATAAAAGCAAATAATAATGATATGGTTTGAATAGGTTAATTAAAATTTTTTAAGTTCTTAGACCACATTCATTCTGTGTCAGAAACCTATGCTGTGTCAAATATTTAATTACAATCCAAATTCAGTGCTGTATCAAGCTTGAATGTTGTGTCCATACTTGCCCCAACTGTTCAGGGTTCGACCTCTGCGGTCGTATCAAGCTGCGCCCCAGTGGAGCATTTTATTATACATCTGTACTGCGCCTACTGACAAATCAGTCCTGAGTGTAAATGGTCATTCAGTATGTTAAAAAAAAGACCAAAATTTATAAGGCCTATCTGGACTAATTGATTTCTAAAACTATATTTCATTGTAAATGTTCAACATTTATTATTCATTTGTTTATTTCTTAATTTGTGTGAATTAACAGTAAATATTAATTACTACACTTTCATACCACAACAAAACTGCCTTACTGTATTGCCAAGTATCACTTATATTTGTATCCATATAACAAAAAAATTGAAAAGAGAATATTTTTGCAATACCTTTTTAGCTCACCGGGGCCCAAAGGGCCCCATGTGAGCTTATGCCATCACTTGGCGTCCGTCGTCGTCGTCTGTCGTCGTAAACTATTTCAAAAATCTTCTCCTCTGAAACTACTGGGCCAAATACCTTCAAACTTTAACTAAATGTTCCTTAGGGTGTCTAGTTTATAAATTGTATCCAAAGTTTTGATCCATCGACAATCATTGCCGCCATGGCTAAAAATAGAACATAGGGGTCAAATGCAATTTTTGGCTTATATCTCAAAAACTAAAGCTTTTAGAGCAAATGTGACATGGGGTAAAATTGTTCAATTGGTCAAGATCTATCAGCTCTGAAATTTTCAGATGAATCGAAAAACCCATTATTGGGTTGCTGCCACCGAATTGGTAGTTTTAACAAAATTTTGCAGTTTTTTGTTATTATTTTGAATATTATTATAGATATATTTAAACTGTAAGCAGCAATAATGTTCAGCAAAGTAAGATCTACAAAAAAGTTAATATGACCATAATTGTCAATTGACCCCTTAAGGAGTTATTGCCCTTTAAAGACAATTTTACACAATTTGTTCATCAAGTTTGCTAACATTTAAAAATATTCTCCTCTGAAACTACTCTGCCAATTACCTTCAAACTTTAACTAAATGTTCCTTAGGGTATCTTGTTTATAAATTGTATCGGAAGTTTGTATCCATCGACAAACATGGCCGCCATGGCTAAAAATAAAACATAAGGGTCAAATGCAGTTTTTGGCTTATATCTCAAAAACTAAATCTTTTAGAGCAAATGTGACATGAGTAAAATTGTTTATTTGGTCAAGATCTATCGGCCCTGAAATTTTCAGACGAATCGAACAACCCATTGTTGGGTTGCTGCCACCGAATTGGTAGTTTTAACAAAATTTTGCAGTTTTTTGTTATTATTTTGAATATTATTATAGATATATTTAAACTGTAAGCAGCAATAATGTTCAGCAAAGTAAGATCTACAAAAAAGTTAATATGACCATAATTGTCAATTGACCCCTTAAGGAGTTATTGCCCTTTAAAGACAATTTTACACAATTTGTTCATCAAGTTTGCTAACATTTAAAAATATTCTCCTCTGAAACTACTCTGCCAATTACCTTCAAACTTTAACTAAATGTTCCTTAGGGTATCTTTTTTATAAATTGTATCCGAAGTTTGTATCCATCGACAAACATGGCCGCCATGGCTAAAAATAGAACATAAGGGTCAAATGCAGTTTTTGGCTTATATCTCAAAAACTAAATCTTTTAGAGCAAATGTGACATGGGGTAAAATTGTTTAATTCTTAAGCATCAGTGGCCAAGTCTTTCTAAACTAGATACTCTAAGAAGCATTCAGATAAAGTCTGGTAAATTTGGCCTTGTAATTTCACAGGAGATTTTTTTTAAGGTTAGGATGGAGGATGTTAAGTGTTGGTATTAAGCTACTTTTCAGCATTTTTTGTGTATTTTGTATGAAAATGAATGTTGTTTTTTTTGTTCAACTGATACACAATACACAATCAAAAGGCAATACATAATCTGTTCCTTGAACTGCTTTTTCAAATCAACATGTGACACAAGTCCCACAACATACATGTACACATACTGGCCTCTAAAAACACTGCAAAGGATCTCATTTGTGTAGAGAGCACAATGTAGCACAAAAGTGAATAAAAAAACCACGAAGGACCTAAACAACGTGTTTTTATCCCATATGTATGCAGTGTGCGTCTTTCGAAATATTAACTTGAATCCATTTATACAATTTCTACAAGTTCATAAGTTGTGGCTATCCCTTTTGTCTCGATCAGAAATAAAATAGTCATAAACTAAACTTAACTGAGTGATTGAAATAAAATCATGTGAAACACTCCTAATTTCAGAAACCTCTTTCCTGTTACTGGCATTGGCTGTCCAGATTTAATCTAGATTTTTAGATCTAATACCAGGTAATTGAGCAGATACACCTGCATGCAGAAAAAAAAAACAGTAAATGAAATACCAAAATTAAAAATGAATGAGTGAATGATTTCAGAGGAGTTGCGATGACAAGAACAGGACTGACTGACGAACGGACAGACAGAGGGACGGACAGATGGGTCAAAAACATTATACCCTCCGCAACTTTGTTGCGTGGGGTATAAAAATCAAAATCTAACTTGACCGGTCCATGACATTCTCAAATAAATTTCATTAACGAGACTTATAATTCATATAATATTACTATAACTTCTATAATCCCTTAAATATTAGGCTTAAACAAAACTAACAATATATTCATGTTCCTGATAACCCAGACAGCTCATCTGGACACCAGATTTTAATGATTTTTAAAACAATATCCATGTATACAAATTGTAAGCATATATACATAAAAGATAATCATAAAAATTATAATTGATGAAATGCTTACATGCTGTATTTCAAGTTAAATACTAAATAATGACAAAATCTCTATCATCAACAATCTCCCTGCCAGGAACAACCATGACAACCAACTAAAACGAGTGAACTTGGTCAAACTTCTTTAAAAACTGAATTTGTAGTGGGAAAATGTTGGAAACCTGAGTCCAAAACCTAATGCTCTAAAGACCGTCTCAGGAAGTATACTTTAGACAGTATAAAAAAATGTATAATTATTAAGAACAAAACAATTGATAAAAATATAAATTATATTAAACTCAGCTAAAAAATAAAAGAAGAATGGACACAATGCCCTTGCTCAAGCTTTGCAATTTTAAAAATTGAAAAAGGAGCATAACTCTAGAAAAGTAAGTGACTCACTGCCCAAATTTGCAACTTTCCAACTGATAAAGGGGCATACCTCTTAAAATTTAGTGCAGAAACAAAAATGGGACAAAAGGAACAACAAAAGGACAGGACGTCCTTTCCCTATGGCAGGGGCATAAAAAAACGAAAAAAGTCGGAAAAGATATTATATTTAACAACGGTGAAAGCCAAAATATACATTTCATTTTTTCTTTTTTTTTTAAGATTCTCCATCCTTAACTTCTGGAAGTGTTTTGACTAGACACGGACCATTATTAATATATCTAAAAGAGTAGGTCTTCAAATAAAATTGGTCCATTTCAATTCATTTTCAAAGTACCAATTAAATCTAGCCACAGGGGAAAAAAAATAATGAATACATGATTGAATCTGAACTATGAACTCAAAACAAAACTATACATACCAAAAACCAATTCAGTATCAATATGCATGACAAAAAAATTGTCAAGAATGGACATGAGTAGAGCTACCTGAATATATCCTTTGGTTTTAATGGTAAAAAAAAGAGAGATTTTAAAATTCAAAATAAGTTATCTATAACTTACAATCTTGTTGAAAATGGAGAATCTTTACACTATTTGTTTTTTTGTAAAAAATTATAATCATTTTCTCAAACATACACAAAAATTGTCTAAATTACATTCTTTACTGGTACAGTCACGCAATCATTTTCATGCAGCCACAGTTAAAGTTACCTGAAAAAGAAATATTCATTCTTAAACATATCTGTCAAAACTATGTGAAAATAATTGAAACAATATTTAATGCAAAAGAATAATTACCTGGGCATTACAATTATGATGCATATAACATTTCTTTTCCTAGCTTTAAAGCGCCTTGTGGACATAACTTTTAGACTACCAGTCTTTGTTGGCAAAAAAAGATGAAAAACAAGTCGTTGTTTGTTGTCTGTCTATCATATTTGTTTTGTTTATTGTTTTATCCTATATCAAGTCATTGGTTTTCTCATATGAATTATTTCACATTTTGTCATGTTGGGGCCTTATATAGCTTTCAATACAGAATAGGTTTTGCTCATTGTTGAAGACCATAAAATGGCATTCTATAGTTGCTAACATCCTTGTCATGTGGTTATTGGTTGATTAATATCTCGTTGGCAATCATACTACATTTCTTAATTTCTATATAGTGGGATTAATTTAGATAAAAAAAAAAAACGGAGAGAAGATATCCAAAATTCAAATCTTTGACTTCCCTTACTTGTATCTTGATACCCCCTTCCGAATTATACATACACTTATAACATGAATAAACTGTTATCACAGAGATATGTCTCAATTTTTTGTAATTTTGATTATGCAAATGTTGAAATTAAAATGGCAATACTTAACAAGTTAGGCTAATATTCAAAGTCAATGAACCATGACTGAGGTACATGGCTAAACCATCTTCATGTAAATGAGATGCGCCAATGCTAATACAACTGTACACCAAATATCATTGACTTATTATAAGTTGTTCCCTTTAAACAAACCTAAACACAATCATTAACTTGTAAACTATGTAAAAGTTTCAAAGTCAATGAACCATGAAGAGCGGGTGGAGCTATATAATCTCCATGGAAACGATACTTATAAATGCCAATAAATTTGCATACCAAATATCATTAACTTAACATTAGCAGTTCATCTTAAACTGATCTTATCACAAACTAATATATGTAAACTAAGCAAGTTTCAAAGTCAATAGGCCATGACTGAGGGGATGGGGCCAAATATTCTCCATTGAAATGAGATGTGCTAATGCTTATACAACTGAATACCAATTAACATTGGCCTACCACTAATGGTTCCTCTTGAACTGACCTAATCACAAACTAATACATGTTAACTAAGCAAAACTTTCAAAGTCAATAGACCATGACTGAGGGGGCTGAGCCAAATAATCTACATGGAAATGAGATGTGCCAATGCTTATACAACTGCATACCAAATATCATTGACCTACCCAGGGACTTTCTATACTAACGGGACTGGTCACTTATAACGATGTCTATACAAATTATCAGACTGATCTCGGCCGTAGCTGATGTCACGTGACTTTATAGCAAATCATTTCCCATTTACGGAGTGTTCTTCATAACTATATGTTCAAGTTTAACAAAAACTCGTTTTTATGAAATTTTATACATTTTGTCATTGCAAAATGTTGTTTTTCAAAAGATTTCTCAGATCGTTTTTTAAATATTGATCTTTGAACTTTGAGGTATTTGTTCCGTGAATTTTCAGTAGCCGCCATCTTGTTTGACACGGTAAACCATTTTACACACGTGGGATGTTCTTTAAAACGATACGTCTAAGTTTAATAATTCATCATTCTTTCAAAATCTTATATTTTTTGTCATAGTAAATGGCTATTAATCAGATTTTATATTAACAACTAATAATAATTATATAATTACAATGAACTGTGAAATACCCAAATAACTACTAGCATCGTATATCAGAGATACGAAACTAAGTTTATTGTTGGGTGGTAGCTTTAAACAGGCGGCTTAGTAATCAGTTAAAATCAATTGAGACGAGTCCCGTTAGTATAGAAAGTCCCTGACCTGCCGCTATTGGTTCCTCATAAACTGACCTAATCACAAACTAATACATGTAAAATAAGCAAAAGTTTCAAAGTCAATAGACCATGACTGAGGGGGCAGGGCCAAATAATCTCCATGGAATTGAGATGTGCCAATGCTAATACAACTGTATACCAAATATAATTGACCTACAACTTAATCTCCATGGAATTGAGATGTGCCAATGCTAATACAACTGTATACCAAATATAATTGACCTACAACTTGTGGTTCACCACAAACTAGACCTAATCACAAACTAATACATTGTTGACACTGCCGCAGCCGCCGGAAACAGCATACCTAAGTCTCGCTTTTTGACTCTGTCAAGCGAGACAAAAATCTAGTGACATGCTCTAAGTTGAATAGTTCATAAATCTATGTACTAATTCTCTTACCAAAAAAGTCAGCTCCAATGGCCATTCCCAACCTCAATCCTTACGGACAAGCTGTGATGTTAACCTGAAATATAAAATGCTTCATCATCAAAAATTGATTAAACTGATCATTGTTGGTATACTTATATATATTTTATATAAACAATGGTAGTCTATAAATGTGTAATAGATGTTGAGAACATGTGTATAAATTGTGTAATTATAAATCGTCTAAAGCTATCCAGCAACCCAGCAAACTTTTTATGTAATTACATCAGATCCTAAGATTTACTTATATAATGGTAGCTGATAAACGAAAGAGTAGACTTCTGACCAACTCCTAAAAGCCTAGAGAATTTTCCAAAGAAATTTTATAATACATTTGGGGTTTTTTTTTTCTCTTTCAAAACTGGAATAACATTCTGGTACTTACCTTCCTTTTAGATGTATTAGACCCCAAAGTTTTATAATCCAACACCATGAAAATCATGTCACAGAAAGGTTACCTAAAAAGGAATTAAAATGGATACATTATTATATATTTTATAAATCCATTTCTGTCAACATAAACATTTACTAAATATTGTTTTGATTTCTTACTACATGTTCACAATAGTATAACATCAACACCTAAGTTTGTAAAATTAATATATAAAGATGGAAAACTAAAAGGAAGTCAAAGAATAATGATTTGAATATCAACTGCATTAAAATCTGCATATTTTACAGAGTTATCTCCCATTGAATTAACAAATCTTGGAAGCTCTATTCCAATCTCAGGATTTACTCTTGCTATTTTTTTAGAAAATCTTGTTAATATACTTGGTACAACTTGTTTCTTTAAATATTAAACTGGTAAAATAATTCTCGGTCGGGTAGATGTTTTCACAATTTTTAGTTTTCAGTTTTCTAACTTGGAAAATATGTTCTCACCATTCACAACTGGCTACTGTGAGAAAAACATTAATAATGTCTAATACAGTTATCTTTTAATTTTTTTTAGTTTTAATTATCCTGATAAGAATTCAACTGGCCAATGTACATGTAATGGTGTATAACATCATACCATTAGTATTTGCAAAACTTTCTTAAAATGGTGTTGATACTTTATAAAGGTATTTAAGTTGATTTCTTCTGTTTGTTTTATCCCATTAAAATCAATAGTCAATACCATATTTTATTTCTTTAAAACAAACAATTACACACATAGGACATATAAAGACCATCAGAAATAATAAATACAGTATTGTAACCTATATATCTTCGTAAGAACTCTGTAATGGAAACAAATAATAAAGATTAGTGATGTTTGAAAAATTGTTGTCACTTCTATCAAAGCAGGCTCTCTTAAAAGCTTACAGTAGATTTAGCTTCATCTGTGATAAAAATAAAATATATATAAGGTATTATAGAGTATAGAGTTACGGAAATCTATATGCCACTCTTCCTGGTCTGTTAGCCATATTCAAGGTCGACAACTGAAACATCCTCTCTAAGCTGAATCTGCAAAAATCCAACATTACAAATTAAACATCTGTGAGTGAACTCTGAAATGAATTAAAGAACCTTAGTGAGCGCGCTCACATACCCCACGTCCTCACATACCCCACGTCCTCACATTGTCATTGGAGAAATAAAATATGTGTAAGAAAAAAAATTGAATCATAATTTCCTGTCAATATGCACATCTACATAGTATGTCCTTATTATCTACAAAGTTTCATGAAATTATGTTGTGTCATTTCAGAGGAGTTGCGATGAAAAACTGTTGCAGAAGACATTGAAGCAAATAAGTTCAAAGGGGCGTAACTCCTAGAAAAAATATTGAATCATAATTTCCTGTCGATATGCACATCTACATAGTCCCTTTGGCTGAGATGTCAAAGGTCACACACACAGAAAAGCTGGATATTTTAGCCAGTATTTATTCCTTGTGCTTGAAAGGTTTGTTGTATAGATGGGTTATAAATCTGTCTTTTTAAGTTTGCATGATAAATGCATATGCTTACATCAAGTAGTAGAAGTGAAATTGACAAATTTGTCAAAGCTAATTAAAGATGTGGTATGATTGCCACTGAGACAACTATCCACCAGAGACCAAATGACATAGTTGTTAGCCACTATCAGTCTTCGTACTGCCTTCATTAATGAGCAAAAACCCAGACATGACAAAATGTTTCACAATTCAAATTAGAAAACCAACAGCCTCATTTATTTACGATACAACAAACGAAAATGACCTTATTATCTACAAAGTTTCATGAAATTCTGTTGTGTGGTTTCAGAGGAGTTGTGATGACAAACTGTTGCAGTAGTACATTGAAGCAAATAAGTTCAAAGGGGTGTAACTCCTAGAAAAAAAATTGAACCGTAATTTCCTGTTGATATGCACATCTACATAGTATGTCCTTATTATCTAAAAAGGTTTCATGAAATTCTGTTGTGTGGTATCAGAGGAGTTGCGATGACAAACTGTTGCAGTAGTACATTAAAGTAAATAAGTTCAAAGGGGCGTAACTCCTAGAAAAAAAATTGAACCGTAATTTCCTGTCGATATGCACATCTACATAGTATGTCCTTATTATCTAAAAAGGTTTCATGAAATTCTGTTGTGTGGTATCAGAGGAGTTGCGATGACAAACTGTTGCATAGTACATTGAAGCAAATAAGTTCAAAGGGACGTAACTCCTAGAAAAAATATTGAACCGTAATTTCCTGTCGATATGCACATCTACAAAGTATGTCCTTATTATCTAAAAAGGTTTCATGAAATTCTGTTGTGTGGTATCAGAGGAGTTGCGATGACAAACTGTTGCAGTAGTACATTAAAGTAAATAAGTTCAAAGGTGCGTAACTCCTAGAAAAAAAATTGAATCGCAATTTCCTGTCGATATGCACAACTACATAGTATGTCCTTATTATCTAAAAAGGTTTCGTGAAATTCTGTTGTGTGGTTTGAGAGGAGTTGCGATGACAAGAAACAGGACTGACGGACTGACGGACTGACAGACGGACGGACGGACGGGTCAAAAACATTATACCCTCCGCAACTCTTTGCGTGGGGTATAAATATAAATATACTAGTCAACAAAAGTAACGATACACAAGTTTGAACTCTAATTTATCATAAAATATAATAAAATAGGAAAAACTGTTAAATTATCTAATGAAAAACATTCATTTGCAAAGCAAATGCATATGATTAAAAGAATCTGACCAAAATGGAAAGTGAGAAACTACCGTGTTATATAAAACAGGGGTCAAATTTATTTTGCGGAACATAGATTTTATTACAAATTTATTTTATTGAACATAGATGTTCCTCAAATAGTCAAAAAATATCAAAGAGACTTAAGGGCTACAGTTCCACAGCTACCTTACCATCAGTTCTTTGAAGAAACCAATATAAAAAATAAATATATATACAACAATATACATGAAAATATATAAAATGAAATAAATCAACCAATCTTACTATTAGGTGCAGAACCATAGCTCTTAATTAGGTCCTTATGATATATTATAAAGACCTAAGAGCTATGGTTCTGCAGCTACCTTACCATCAATTCTGTGAAGAAACCTATATAAAAAATAAATATATATACAACAATATACATGAAAATATATAAAATTAAATAAATCAACCAATCTTACTATTAGGTGCGGAACCATAGCTCTTAATTAGGTCCTTATGATATATTATAAAGACCTAAGAGCTACGGTTCCACAGCTACCTTACCATCAGTTCTTTGAAGAAACCAATATAAAAAATAAATATATATACAACAATATACATGAAAATATATAAAATGAAATAAATCAACCAATCTTACTATTAGGTGCAGAACCATAGCTCTTAATTAGGTCCTTATGATATATTATAAAGACCTAAGAGCTACGGTTCCGCAGCTTCCGTACCATCAATTCTATGAAAAAACCTATATAAAAAATAAATATATATACAACCATATATACATGAAAATATATAAAATGAAATAAATCAACCAATCCTACTATTAGGTGCGGAACCATAGCTCTTAATTAGGTCCTTATGATATATTATAAAGATCTAAGAGCTACGGTTCCACAGCTACCTTACCATCAATTCTTTGCAGAAACCTATATAAAAATAAATAAATATACAACAATATACATGAAAATAAATAAAATGAAATAAATCTACCAATCTTACTTTTAGGTGCGGAACCATAGCTCTTAATTAGGTCCTTATGATATATTATAAAGACCTAAGCGTTATGGTTCTGCAGCAACCTTACCATCAATTCTTTGAAGAAACCTATATAAAAATAAATAAATATACAACAATATACATGAAAATAAATAAAATGAAATAAATCTACCAATCTTACTATTAGGTGCAGAACCATAGCTCTTAATTAGGTCCTTATGATATATTATAAAGACCTAAGAGCTACGGTTCCACAGCTGCTTTACCATCAATTCTTTGAAGAACCTATATAAAAAATAAATATATATACAACAATATACATGAAAATATATAAAATGAAATAAATCAACCAATCTTACTATTAGGTGCGGAACCATAGCTCTTAATTAGGTCCTTATGATATATTATAAAGACCTAAGAGCTATGGTTCTGTAGCTACCTTACCATCAATTCTGTGAAGAAACCTATATAAAAAATAAATATATATACAACAATATACATGAAAATGTATAAAATGAAATAAATCAACCAATCTTACTATTAGGTGTGGAACCATAGCTCTTAATTAGGTCCTTATGATATATTATAAAGACCTAAGAGCTACAGTTCCGCAGCTTCCTTACCATCAATTCTATGAAAAAACCTATATAAAAAATAAATATATATACAACCATATATACATGAAAATATATAAAATGAAATAAATCAACCAATCTTACTATTAGGTGCGGAACCATAGCTCTTAATTAGGTCCTTATGATATATTATAAAGACCTAAGAGCTACGGTTCCGCAGCTTCCTTACCATCAATTCTATGAAAAAACCTATACAAAAAATAAATATATATACAACCATATATACATGAAAATATATAAAATGAAATAAATCAACCAATCTTACTATTAGGTGCGGAACCATAGCTCTTAATTAGGTCCTTATGATATATTATAAAGACCTAAGAGCTACGGTTCAGCTGCTACCTTACCATCAATTCTTTAAAGAAACCTATATAAAAATAAATAAATATACAACAATATACATGAAAATAAATAAAATGAAATAAATCTACTAATCTTACTTTTAGGTGCGGAACCATAGCTCTTAATTAAGTCCTTATGATATATTATAAAGACCTAAGGTTCCGCAGCTACCTTACCATCAATTCTTTGAAGAAACCTATATAAAAATAAATAAATATACAACAATATACATGAAAATAAATAAAATGAAATAAATCTACCAATCTTACTATTAGGTGCAGAACCATAGCTCTTAATTAGGTCCTTATGATATATTATAAAGACCTAAGAGCTATGGTTCCGCAGTTACCTTACCATCAATTCTTTGAAGAAACCTATTTAAAAAATAAATATATATACAACAATATACATGAAAATATATAAAATGAAATAGATCAACCAACCATACTATTTATAGCTGTGGAACCATAGCTCTTTGGTCCTTATATTTATTGAACATAGATGGTCCTCAAATAGTCAAAAAATATCACAAGGACCTAAGAGCTACGGTTCCGCAGCTACCTCACCATCAATTCTTTGAAGTAACCTATATGAAAAATAAATATATATACAACAATATACATGAAAATATACAAAATGAAATAAATCAACCAATCTTACTATTAGGTGTGGAACCGTAGCTCTTAAGTAGGTCCTTATGATATATTATAAAGACCTAAGAGCTACGGTTCAACAGCTACCTCACCATCAATTCTTTGAAGAAAC